TTCTAGTTTTTGTACGTGACATTTACAGCTTCTCTCGTAAGATTCTGACAAAATCTTGATGAAATCATTTGGCTCAGTCTTGGCAATGTTTTTACAAGAAAAATAACTGAGGTTTTTGAGGTTTCTTCAAGTCTATCCTCGGTCAATCTTTGTCACTGATTTTACAAAGATAACAACAAAGATTCTTGAGGATCCTGCCTCCTAGCTTTGACCGGAACTCTTAGAATGATGTTTTCAAAGATTTTTTTTCAAACTTTAATGACGGGGGCAACAGACCTTTGGGGTTGTTAGGGGCACCAAGCGGTCCTGTCGCTGCTCTACTAGCATCCCTGGTAAGTGTTAATTAAGACAAATTTATACAAAAATATTTTTTATTCAACAACAAAAACTATTATGAAATCATAACAACAAAGTCGAGCAAAGTTAGAGGACGATTCCAATCAAACACAGTCTACCTTATTTCTAGGTAGTACAAGTAGTAATCAACACCATATCATTCAACTGTGTATCTTCAGTTAGCCTTTATTCTACCTTGTAACAAAACAGACTGTCCCCTTTCTGTTTGGAATCGTCCACGCATGTGCATAACTAGCTTTGACCGATAATAAATATTAACACTGCTCAGATCTATAGAGTATTAAAAACAAGACATCACAGGAATAGTTCTATACTGACCGGTTAATAGAGTAGGGGCAAGTGGTCTGAAGACTAGAGGGTGTGGCTAGAGGGCTTTGTCGAGGAGGTTTCGGATTAGTGTCCTGTGTAACGATTTTGCCTCTCTATGTACTAAGCCGATATGAAAATGGCGCCCTCATTTGTCATTTGCCACCAATCTAAAATGAAGATTATCAAAGTTAAATCTTGAATGACATTTATGGATTCCCACACCACATGAACTAAACATGTTTCGTATGCATGTTTACATAAAGTTAGATCAGAAATGATCATTAATTTAAGTGCATTCGTGAAACCACCCATACCGCCATTTTGGTCGCTATGTTTACATAATGACGTCGAAAGTGGAAGTTCGATTTCTGTGCCGTTCTTCTTTTTATCTGTTTCTAATTCACAGAAAGTTAATCCCAAAATCCTAT